TTCTAATTAGCATAATGATTTTCATGGAGCAATTTCATAGAAAGTTCATCCATACATGGTATAGTTTGTCAGTCTCTGCAAAAAGCCTCATAATCTAATCAGCCAAGAACTTTCAACTTCTCTCTAGAACAGTGTTTTGTGATTTTTTTTAAGAGAGAGAGAGAATTTTTTTTTTAAAAAAATATATTTATTTATTTATTTATTTTAGTTTTCGGCGGACACAACATCTTTGTATGTGGTGCTGAGGATCGAACCCGGGCTGCACGCATGCCAGGCGAGCGCGCTACCGCTTGAGCCACATCCCCAGCCCCGAGAGAATTTTTTAATATTTATTTTTTTTAGTTTTTTCGGCGGATACAACATCTTTGTTTGTATGTGGTGCTGAGGATCGAACCCAGGCTGCACGCATGCCAGGAGAGCGCGCTACCGCTTGAGCCACATACCCAGCCCAATGTGTTTTGTGATCTTTAAAAACCTCATGGCTATTGTGCATGGTGGTGCACAACTATAATCTCAACTTGTAAGGCTGAGGCAGAAGGATCACAAGTTTGAGGCCAGTCTCAGCAACTTTTGAGACCCTGTTTCAAAATAAAAAGGGCTAGGCATGTAGTTCAGTGATTGTACCACTGGCTTCAATCCCCAGCACCAAAAAAAGAAAAAAGCCCACTCATGGCCTTTTAGAAAACATGAAAATCTCATACCTCATTTTCATTCTGATAAGTACTTCCCTCTTATCCTCATCAATGAAGAATATTTTAAATTTCTTTTTCTTAAGTTTGTATTATAAAAACAATCTTCTTTTCTCAATAGCTATGTTATTATTTTGAGTATGACTTTCAAACCATATGTGGAGTATAGAATTCTTTTCTTGAAATTGGTCAAGAGTTTAGGTAGATGTGCTGGCATTTTGGTTTATCAAACAGCTTAAGATATAATAGGCATGCTGCCAGAGCTAGGCCCTATTGTGTAAGCACTGTGGTCTTTGCTGCTAGCAAGCGAACATTTCCCTCTGTCATGGGCTTCAGATTTAAAGCGGGTTTTGCTTTCCTAGGATCCAGCTAATAATATTGAGTACTTAGAATGTGCCAGATGCTCTGCTAAGTGCTTTATAGTTTACAACAAACACTTTCTCTCATTTTATAAATCTCAAAATAACCTCCATCCTACAAAGGAGAGAAGTCAGGAGAAGTTCAGGGATTTGACCAGGATCTTCTAATGCATATATGGCAGAATCAGACTTGAGCTGTGTTACTTTTACCACAGCACCATGCTGGAGGTCTTAATCCGGTTATTTTACCCTGTAAAGTCAAATGGGAATTTTTGATTGGCCAAAGGTTTTTCCTCCTCAGATTTGCTCAGATTATTAATACTGAGATTCTCCACCAGATTTCCAAGCCTTTTTAACCCTCTTTGGAGTTGAACGCATATTTACTTCAATTATGGAAATGTCTCCTTAAATACATGAATATTACATGCAAGTAATTATGAATTATTAATGTTGCCTGGGGCTTCTTGCTTTCTTAGGTTTTCATGGTGTCCCTGAGCACTTGAGCCATTTAGCTGAACAGTAGCTTCTTAGCCACTGTTGAAGTGTTCATCCTTTTTCATTAGATGTAGGTCTTTCCTTCCTTCCTGAGTTCTTGTTTTTTGTTGTTGTTTTGGTTTTGATTTTGGTTTGTTTGTTTGTTTAGTACTAGGGATTGAACCCAGGTGCACTTAAGCATTGAGCTACACCCCCAACCCTTTTTGACAGGGTCTAAGTTGCCAAGACTGTCCTTAAATTTGCAATCCTCCTGCCTCAGTCTCCTGGGGAGCTGGATTACAAGCATTTGGCCATCTGTGGATTTCTTCTTAATAGTACTTCTTAATGGTTACTGTTCTGATCTTACAGAACAGCTAAAACTCCTATGTATTCCCCCTGACTTCAGGAAATTCTTTCACAAATCCCTGACTCTCCCTTCCTTTCTCCTTTCTTGAAGATTCTATTCTTTTCCTGATTTTATAAACTCCTTTTGATTGTAAAACTAAAGAGCAGGACCTGAGCATTCCCAAGATGTTTCTCTTCATTTCTGCAGGCCACACAAATGGAGAACTGTGTGCAGAGGTCTACCAGGACAGACTTCACACTGTCCTGCTCTACACAGCTCTAGTTTCTGAGACTTCACCTAGACTCATTTATGTCTAATTTAAATTTCTGCTTTTCCCTTTTCTGTCATCCTCTGTACTTGTGTTACAAGTCTACAGTCTGGTTTTCTTCATTTGTTTCCTGTCTCTTACTAACTTGCTTTCTATGTGAGTTAACTCATTTATAAAATGGGCATGGTACTAGTCTTTTCTACTTCAAATCCACGCTGAGAATCAATCATGTATCAACAGACATGAAAGTGTTTTTAGAAAACAGGCAAAAAAGACTGAGTTATGAAAAGGTGTTACTTGTAATTGATTTCAATGTAATGAAGACATGAAAAAACATTAATATTTATGTCCTTTATTTCAAACTGTTTTGGATTTTAAAACTTGGTGCAGTTTAAAGGTTTGGTTTTGGTTTTTGGTTTTTGGTGCTAGGGATTGAACTCAGGTGCACTCAATCACTGAGCCACATCACCAGCCCTATTTTGTATTTTATTTAAAGATAGAGTCTCACATTTGCTGAGGTTGGTTTTGAATGTATCGGGCCTTCCAGGCCTCTGAGATTATAGGCATGCACCACTGCACCTGGCTACTTTAAATGTTTTGTTGATGCTAGTTATAATGGGATTTGCCATATAGCTTTCATCCCTTTGGTCATCCTTTGATCATCCTGTGAATCTTCTCCCCATTTTCCACGGATGTTCTTGAATGTTGTAGAATTCTGGAAGGGTCATGAGTAAACCCTGAAGATATGATGAAACCCATATACTTTGATATGAAAACACACTGTGAGTCTCTCCCCGTGGGATGAAACCTTTGGTCTTCCCTTGTCATCAGCATGTATATAGGGAATATATGCGATGAGCAGTTGAAGTCCTCATGCTAAACCCAAAGCCCAGCACTGCCTTGGACTAGCCATCCTTTCTGCGGTAGCTCCTTCCACTCCCCCAGGGAAGCCCAGTCTCTTGGACAGTGTTATATAGCTGGCTTTAGAGCTGCTGCTTTTTCTGGGTCCTCAGGGACCCTTTTTTCCTGTGCTGGGCTGACATTTCAAATAGTCCTGAGGGCTTCTGGAGCCAATCTCAGAGCCGTGAACCTGGGCTTGTGTTAGAGGAAGCTTAGCTTAATATAAATAAATCTGTAAGAAAAGGTCACAGGTCACTGTCAGGAAAGAAGTAAAAAATACAGTGTTCACTCCCTTTCCTCCCTGAGAAATTGAAGCCCAACTTGGTGTTGAAATGGGATGGTAAAACAGGAATGGGTCTGAGAATTTGGGGAGATCTGTATCTGCCCTCACAGCTTTGGGGACCTGATACAGTGATCCCAACAGACCTGAAGCCAGACGCCAGTGAGATATCTAAGCAAGTGACTCTTTCATCCTGTTTCCACCAGTTAAGGGAGAGAAACATAAAATAATTTCGTTCAAGCATTTAAGCAAGTAAGAATCACTAAATATGAGCTTCCACTAATTTTTACATCCATGGACCAGAGAAGGTAGGATGGGAGTGTAATGGATGCAAAGGGAATGATTATTATAGGAAGGTGATAAGAGCTATATCTGCACACCATGGGGATCTGTGACAAGAAAGCAGAGAGGTGTAAATGCCAGGGCAAGAGTAATAATAGCAGGTGTCATTATTAAGTCAGAAAAAATAATTCTTAAAGATAATTGTAGTAAGCTCTGTCACATTCATACTGTCCAGTGTCCAGCAAGGAGCCCAGGGCTTGGCCCACACCCCACTCTTCCATCAGTCTCTCCTTGTACCATTTCTAGTGAGAGGGATAGCTCTCTTGGGAGTAGGGAATTTGACTCCCCTCCTGCTGTGGCATTCATGGGGCTCTGATTATTGGTGTTCAGTAAATGTTTAAGAAAAAATAAATGGGGGCTGGGGTTGTGGCTCAGCAGTAAAGCCCTCGCCTAGCACGTGTGAGGTGCTGGGTTCAATCCTCAGCACCACATAAAAATAAATAAAAGTATTGTGTCCAACTATAAAAACTAAAAAATATTTTTAAAAAAAGAAAAAGAAAAAAAATAAATGGATTATTCTGGAGCATAGTGTCTTTATCTTCTCATTAAGTGATACCACTAATCCAAAAGTTCTTTTCAAGTAGGAGGACGATAGTGCTGGGTGTGAAAGGGCAGGTCCTATAAAACTGCTGCTTCCTGCCACAAAATAATTGTGTTTATGTAAAACTATAAAAAATAAGGCGAGGGCTGGGGTTGTGGCTCAGTGGTAGAGTGCTTGCCTAGCACATGTCAGGCACTGGGTTCAATCCTCGGCACAACATAAAAAATAAATATATAAATATATTGTGTCCATCTACAAGTAAAAAAATAATAATTTTTTAAAAAAGATGATTTAGGGCTGGGGTAATGGCTCAGTGGTAGAGCGCTTGCCTAGCATGTGTGAAGCACTGGGTTAGATTCTCAGCACCACATACAAATAAATGAATAAAATTAAGGTCCATCAACATCTAAAAAAAATTTAAAAATAAGGCGATGTGGTTATTTCCATTTTATACTTGAAAGTGAAGTAGAGTTGGTCCAATGCTCTTTCCTCTCCCCGGACCCACAGATGTCTGCCTCCTGCCTACAGTTAAGGCGGGCCCTCCAGCGGATGCCTTCTCCCGGGAGTGGGACGAGCCAGATGCTCCAAGAATGAGGGGTGTCGAGAATTAATTATGGAGCTCCTCTGGTGCCTGGCACTTGCCTGAGTGGCATAAAGATGCCCGTGCTGTGCAGGAGGAGGACTTCTTTGCCCCACTTTTAGTCTCCTAGAGAAGCTCAGGGTTTGAAGTTATTACTTGGTGGCCAAAAGCCAGCGGCCGTGGCGAGCGAGGTCCCGGAACTGTCTTGCTGCGGGGGCGGCGGGAGGGTAGGAGGCTCAATCCAGGACCCATGGAGGAGGCAGTGCCCACCCCGCCAGGAGCAGGTGCGGGGCGGGGCCGCTATGGGCGGCAGGGCGGGGCTCCTGCTGCAGCTCCGCCCCAGGCGCAGGTTTAAAAGGAGGGAAGGCGGGCCCCCTGGAGCCAGCTGCGGGCGCGGGCTGGCAGACGGAGCTGTAGGTACGGCCATGGCCCGGCACGCGGGGGGCGCTTGGGGGCTTAGTGGCCTCCTGCTCTTCGCGCTGCTGGCAGCCGGTGTCGCCCCGCTCAACTGGGATCTTCCGGAATCCCGGGGCCGAACAAGCAAGATCCGAGTGCACCCGCGGGGCAACCTCTGGGCTACCGGTAAGTCTTAGGGGACCCCAGCAAGCGTCCCTCACCCCGCTCTGGCCCCGTTTCTTTCTCAACACTGTGGCCCCTCCTAGTGTCCGAGCACGTGGGGACACTAGGGGATCATCTAATTTAGTAGATAGAGAAGTTGAGTAATTTGGCTAAGATAGTAACTTGGCTAAGATCTCTTAGCAAGTTTAAGGCAGAGCTGGGTTTGAATCCTAGGTCGACTGCCAACCGGTGTCCTTCCCTTAAGCAAGACTGCTTATAACCTCTGGTGTGTCTTTCTGCACATTCATCTTCCAGGCACCTCTTCATTCCCTACTTCTTTCCTTGCCCTTTTCTGACCCTCCTCCAAGCAGGCAGTACAACTGGCAGTTTCCCCCTGGTCCTAGTTTGTCCCACCTTCCTTCCAACTGTGCTGTCCCTACACCTGTTCAGGAAAAGCTGAGGTAGCAGTCTTTGTCACCACCCCAATGTCTTTGTGGCTCCTTGGTGAAGAGAATGAAGGTTTCCTGTCTTCCTTCCAAGAGAAGTGAAAAGTGGGAAAGATGGGGAACTTTCCCACTGGGGCAGGATCCTCACTCCCTGACTTCCATGTACCTGGGCACCTCCTTTCTAGGTCACTTCATGGGGAAGAAGAGTCTGGAGTCCCCCAGAGCATTCCCGTTGGGGACAACTCCCCATACCTCCCTGAGGGACCAGAGACTGCAGCTGAGTCATGATCTGCTCAGGATCCTACAGATAAAGAAAGCTCTGAGCATGAGCTTCAGCAGCCCAGCACCCCAAACCCAGGTGAGCCAGGCCTCCACCCCAATACCAGGATGGTTTAGCTAAGGCCACGTAGGATCCAGCATGGAGGAATTACCACCCAGGATTGGGTGTGATTACACAGCCAGGGCATAATGGGTATAAACCCCAGAAAGCCAGGATTCTGGGCCTTCCCTGTGTCCCAAGGCTTAAAGGAGACACTCTCCAAAGAAGGGAAGCTGACCTTCCCACCAGACTCCATGGAGCAAGAAGTAGGGGAAAGAAGTTCCCCATCACTCAGTCTAAAGTCACAGGCTGGCCTCTTGGCAGCAGAATCTTCTCCCCTAACTACACAGCTTTGTTCCACTCCAGATGTCCCCTACTATATAAACCAAGTGTACATTTGCTGTGCCTTACATATGGTTATGACCAGAGCTAGGACCCTGAGAACCAGAGAGGGCAAGAGAAGTCAGCAACCAAGACAGAATTAAAACCTTGTTCACGTTCACCAGTGCTCTTGACATTCTAGGCTGGATAATTCTTTGCTGTGGGCATCCCTGCACATTGTCGGATGTTTAGCCATGTCTGTGGTTTCTACCCACTAGATGTCAATAGCACCTTGCCTCTCCTAAGTTGTGACAAACAAAATTATTTCTGAGCCAGGTGTTGTGGTATACACCTGTAATCCTGGCAACTTGGTAAATTGAGGCAGGAGGATCCCCTGAGCCCAGGAGTTTGAGGTCAGCCTGGGCAACATAGCAAGACCCTGTCTTTAAAAAAAAAAAAAAATACTTCCAGACATTGCCAAGTGTCTCCCAGAGTGGGGCAAATCACTCTTGGTGGTAAACCAACGATCTATGGGGTTCAAGGTCCTAAAGCTGGAAGTAAGCCACCCTTCCCGGCTAGCATGGGAGGGTGGCTGCTCCTCCATTTGCTGCTCCCAGTGCTATCCCTACTGCACATACCCTCCTTGGTACTGTTACCATGTGCAGAAAGCAGTGTGATGTGGCAGAATGTGGGCTCTGGCCACTGTGCTGGGCTCAAAACCTAGCTACTCAATAGCTATATAACCTTAGAATGTCACTTACCTACTCAAAGGCTCATCTTCCTCATCCATAAAGTGGAAATACAGGCCCTTCTCCCATTATGTCATTTGTGCAGCATGGTGCTGACACATAGAAAGCCCTCAGTAAACAGGAGCACTTACCAGTAGTTTCTGGCAGTACCTGTTGGTGCCTCAGTTTTGTATCTGCCACTGTGTCTACCATAAAGTATGCATATGTTGAAAGAAGAGAGGGGCATTCCCTAGAAAAGGTCTAGCCCCAGCCCACATCCCTGACTTTCAGATGCATAGCTCCTGGGAACCTCACATAATAAGGACTAGGAGGTTGGGCTGGCTATCTGAAGGAAGACTATTATCACCTCTAGGGCCATGGAATTTGAAGGCCTAAAACGTACAGATTAACTAGAGAATCCCTAGCTATGGGGCTGGGGGAACTTGAGGGGGGTCTGGGCAGAGCTTGGGGTAGGGGGAATAAAGACACTGACAATGGCCCAGTGCCAGACACCATACTTTTACTTGACTTCCATGATCTCCTTTAATTGTCATGCCTGCCCTGTGCTATTGGGGCTGTGTTCTGAGAAAACCACCACCCCTAATTCCTCTCAGGACTTTCAGAGAGAAAGTGCTCCGCGGCCTGCCTCAATTGAGAGTCTGTCTCTGCCCACATCTGCAAACACCCAGCACTTAGAAATGGCAGCATGGCTTTATCATTTTCCCCTCTCCCCAGGTCATTTCTTCTCTTTGTTTTCCTTCAGTACAGGAGGCTGCTGGTGCAGATACTGCAGAAGTGATGCCAGTAATGGGGCAGACACAACATGGCTTAGATTGTGCCCACCCAGGCAAGTTGCTGAATGGAACCCTAGTGGTGGCCCCATCTGGATGTAAATCCTGAGCTTGAATCTGTTATTCCATTACTGTGATTTCCGTTTGGTTCGCCAGAAATATTGCAGTTGCAAACACAACCTATGTTCCTGCTGTTTTTCTTGCTTCTCTGATGAAGTTGTGAATAAAACCCTGCTGTTTATATATAGAATGCATGGTCCTCTCTTTCCAGCCACGTTTAAGGGAAGGGAAGAGGAAGGGAACTGGAGGGTGGGGTGTTCAGTGAAATGGGGTGGGCTCTAAAAAGCCCAGGACACCCCCATGTCTGGCATCAGCCTGGCAGTGACTGAGCTCTTACTCCATTCATTCAGCAAGGAGTTACTCAATGCCCACTGTATGCTGGGTCTCCTTCCAGTTGCGGGATTCTTCTCTCTCCTCTGCCACCTACTGGTGCAGGCAAATGTCTCTTCCGTTTCCTCGCCTCTAACGAGGGTACTACACTATACTAACACTACACTACTGGGCTTTACTTAATCTCATCATATTTCATTTCCACGCCAAGTTTCTAGAGGAATACCTAATGCGTGGAGAGAGAGAGCCTGGTGAGATTCCAGACCCAGCTATCTGCCTGCTCTCTTCTCTGAACTTAAGTAGAGTTGCCAGAATTAGCAAATAAAAAATGGACACCCGGTAAAATTCGAATTTCAGATAAAAAAAAAAAAAATTCGTGTAAAATGTCCTAAAAATTGCATGGGCATACTCACACAAAGAATATTGTTCATTGTTTATCTGAAATTTCAGTTTAGCCGGATGGTTTTGTAATATTCCTGGCCTTGGGATACTGACCGCCGTTTTCTGGGCTGCAAATACCTGGATCTAAAACAGGTATTTGGTCCGTCCAGCCCTGCTCCGAGCGAACATCGGAGTCTTTCTTCCCTTTTCCGGGAGCTTTTCCCCAAAGATTTCCCAGCACAGCCCAGCGAGGGCGGGGCGCAAGGGCAAGCCAGCTGGGACACCGCGGGCCCCGCCCGCCAGAGGGAGGCCACGCCCTCTCCTCGCGAGAGGGCCACGGATGTCCTGGAAGGCTTGGAAGCGGAAGCGGGGTGCCGGAAGCGGCAGTTGCCATGGATCCCGCGGAGGACTGGCTTGTGGAATCCTTGCGCTTGTAAATCGTGAGGGATTGGGAGCTGAGCCTGGGCCTGAAATGCGTCTGGTGGGCGGATGAGTGTGGGTGGAGGCACGTAGGGAATCCTGGTATGAGGGGGACGCGTAGCTGGGTCTATGCGGAATGACTCTTCTTGGGCCTCGGATTTTTTATCTGGAAAATGGCCCGTTCTGCGTGCTAGTGGTGTTAAGAGCTGTGCTAGTGATGGATAATAATACCAACACAGATGATCAGTTATTTTGCTCCAGCCTCTAGGTTAAACATTGAACACAGATTGACTAATTGGATCTTCACATCAACTTTGGGTGTCCTGGGAGTTCCAGAGATGAAAACCGAAGCTCAGGGCCTAGTGTTTGGCCTAGTCCCAGACACACGGGGTGTAAAATAGGAACTAAGACACAGTCCCTTGGGCTGGGGATATAGCTCAAGCAGTAACATGCTCGCCTGGCATGCGCAGGGTGCTGGGTTCAATCCTCAGCACCACATAAAAATAAAATAAAGATGTTGTGTCCACTAAAAACTGGAAAAAAAAAAAAAAGACAGTCCCTTGTCTGCCTGACTCCAGATCCAGGTCCCTAACCACCGAATTCTGTTATTTTTGTCAGCTATACAGTTCCATGCATAGTGTGATTATGTCCCTTTTGTGCAGGTACCAGGATTTCCATGCATTCGACCTCTCAGGAGCCACACGAGTCCTTGAATGGATTGGTGACAAAGGTGATAAAACTTGCCTGGCCCTAAAGGAAATGGAATCACATTTCTCAGGCTGAGAGTCAGGGGCTCAGTCTAGAGGGACCCAGGATACTCTTCTGGGAGCCTGAGGGCCTACTGGTCACTTGTTGAAATTTGGTGCCCCATCAGCATTTACCTTCCTTTTATTAAGACCCTCCATCCCCTGATTCAAGGCTGTACACTGATGGGGAAGGAATTTATCCCTGATTGGGCGGATTTGGCAGGAATTTATAGATCCACCCATTGTCTATAATAATCTTCCTAATGATTTGTCACAGCTGCTTCTTTTTTCCAGGAGTCTTTGTTGCTGGCTATGAAAGCCTGAAAAAAAATGAGATTCTTCATCTGATACTACCTCTCAGACTTTCTGTAAAGGAAAACCAGGTAATTTGAAATATAAGTATATATGTTCATTTTTATTTATTAAGCATTTGAAAACTCCTGTTACACACCAGGTATTGTCCTGGATGCTGGAGAGACACACACACACAGTGGTCATGCCCTTACAGTCTACTAGAGGGAGACAAGTTTGAACAGAGATAAGTGTTATACAATCTCATGTGATTCACAGAGGGCTACTAGAGGAAGAGGTCAGTTTTATTAAAAATAGATTTGGGGGGTGGGGCTGTAGCTCAGTGGTAGAGCACTTGCCTCACATGCATGAGGCACTGGGTTCGACCCTCAGCACCACATAAAAATAAATAAATAAAGACATTTTAAAAAAATAGATTTAGGGCTGGCCAGATGATGCATGCCAATAATCCCAATGGCTTGAGAGGCTGAGACAGGAGGATCACAAGTTGAAAGCCAGCCACACCAACAGCGAGGTGCTAAGCAACTCAGTGAGATGCTGTCTCTAACTAAAATACAAAATAGGGAGCTTGGGTTGTGGCTCAGTGGTAGAGTGTTCACCTAGCATGTGCGAGGCCCTGGGTTTGATCCTCAACACCACATAAAAATAAAGGTATTGTGTCCGACTACAACTAAAAAATAAATATTTAAAAAAAAATAAAATACAAAATAGGGCTCAGGATGTGGCTGAATGGCTAAGTGCCCCTGGGTTCAACCCCTGATACCCACTACCACCACCAAAAAAAATAGATTAGGAAGCCATTAGGGTATAGAAAGTAGTTGTAGTCCTTAGAATAGTTTAGATTGCCTAGAATAATATGTACTATATTAGATTAAGAGAAGACAGCTAAGGACAGAACTTCAGGAGACACAGTTAAAGGGACAGGTATAAGAATTGGAACCCCCAAGAAATACTAAGGATAGTCTTTAATGTAGGAGGAGTTTCAGAAAAGGTCCAAATGCAAAAGAAGAAAACATGTCAAGAAGAGTCTATAGGGCTGGGGTTGTAGCTTAATGGTAAAACATTTGCCTAGTATAGTGAGGCCCTGTGTTTGATCCTCAGCACAAGATAAAAACAAATAAATAAAGGTCAAATTCTTTAAAAAAGAAGAAAAGTCAATAACTATGTAATGTTACTATAAAATCATTCAGGTGAGGATTGAAGTTTGTTTATTAGATTGGCAATTGGGAAGATCTTGGTGACCTCTGGCACAGCATTTTAATGATGGTCAGGGCCAAAGACTGAGAGAAAGGAGGAAGTGGAGATGCAGGAAGGGAAGAAATCAGAACAATAACTAGTCAGAAACAGACTTGAAGAGGGAGGATTTCCTAAAGCCAGAAGTGTTAGCAGAGTTACAACCTGAGGAGAAGTAGCTCTTAAAGAAGGAGAGAATGTAGATGTAGGAGTGAGGGAATAACAGGAAAAAATTATCCTAACCTCCAGTGATAGAAAAAGATCCTGCTTCCCCAAAATGGGAAGGGTGAGGCATACAGTTAAATAACTGAAAGGCCATGTAGGAATAGGAATTTGAAAATGTTTGTTTCTGAATAAACAAATTTATTTATTTGTTTGTTTGTTTTTGCAATACTGGGGATTGAACCCAGGGCCTTGTACATGCTCTACAACTGAGCTACACCCTTAGCCCTTTAAAATTCTTTAATAAGAAACCAAGTTATCTTACAGGGTAACCATGGCATAGTTAAGCTGAAGGTTTAGAATAGATGACAGGGTAGACAGGAACCTATAAAGGGATTATTAAGACCAGGAGAGGCTGAGTCCCAGGCAGCCATAGCCCAGTGTTTCTCACAGTAGCCTGAAGACCACCTGTATCCAAGCTATTAAGGTTGCTGGCTAAAATGCAAATTCCTGGGCCCATTCCCAGACTGATTGTATTAGAATTTCAAGAGGTAAAGCTCAGAAAAATGCCAAGTGTTCCTTTGAAGAGCAGACTGTATCTGATTGGCCAACCCTTTGTATTTTAGGGCTTATTCCCAGAAAGAGATTTTAAATTGCGCCATGGCGGATTTTCAGACGGACCTGTCTTTGATCTAAAGCATGTGCCAGATACCAGGTATGGTCAGTTCTATGACTCAGACCTTCCATTTCAAGATGGGATGGCTGAAAATACCCAGGGGTGTCCTGCTTTTTTATTACCTCCTCAGCTCTAACTGCACACAGACATGTGAATGTGCACACAGATCTAGAACATAAAACCATTATCTCCATACCTACTTTGATTAATGTAACCACCAGGTCACTGGAATTGCTCTAGGGACTAGATAGATACAGGATAAAAAGGATGCTCTTAATCTTTCAGAGAGCTGATGTATTAGATAGTTTGTGTAACTAGCTCAGTTAGAGGAAGCTAAGTTTGTAGGTCAGAGTTGTATGTTCAGGCTCCTCATTGGTGTCCTCTCTAGATGGCTGAGCCTGAGCTCAGTCCCATGGCTCTCTATGAGCTGTGGGCCCATCCCCAAAGCAGAGCAAGCTGCTCATCTGTTAAATAAGGATGGCTGGTTTTGATCCTGCAGTACAAATTTTTGTTATGGGAGGTGAACAGATCCTAAGCTATGTGGACTGGAAAGGGGAAAACTGTTGGGGTTTGGGGAGGAGCTCCCCAGTATCTGGACTGATTTTCTATCTATCCTGAATAGGTTGCTGGTGACCAGTGGCCTTCCAGGTTGTTATCTGCAGGTGTGGCAGTTTGCAGAAGACAGTGGTGAGTGAATTTCACTTGGTGGAGGTTGAGGTTTAAGGAAAGTATATGACTTACACACTCCTGCCCCCTACTCTTGAGTCAGGAAATATGTAGACTCTGAGTCAGGGGCAGGAGAATATAGAATCTACTTTTATGGTGGCAAAAAGACAAATTAGCAACCACAGCATGGCAGACAAGCCCCAAATGAATCTTCCCTGAACTTACTCCAAGAGTTGAGTTTACCCAACCCAGCCATAGATGGACTGCCCAGAAAACCACAGGCCTCTCCATTAAGCAAGACGGAGGCCAGGGCAGAACTAGGGCTAATCCGAAGTGCTTTCCTCTTGGAGGAGGAGGATGGGAGAGAGAGAAAAAAAAAGAAGTTATTTCTCTCTACAACATGTTCCCTGGGAAGGAAAATAGCTAATGAGCAAGGTTGACTAGCCAGTTTTCTTCTCAGAGAAGTCACTCTGCTTCCTATCCATTCTCGAAGTGGAAGGAAGTTCCCTCATGGGGAATAGGCTTCCCTCCAGCTGTGGAGATTTGCAGGTCCTCTGTCAGGCAGGCACCAGAGCGGGCAGCCTTCTGACCTGATTTAGTCCCCTCCCTCCCTCCTCCAGCATTAAAGTGTGTGTGCCCCCTGTTGCCTCAGTTGGAAGCTTCCCAGAAGTAGCCTGGTGGCTGCTGGTCCCTCCCCAGGCTTCACTGCTGCAGAAAAGTACTCTTGTGTTTATTGCTTTCTGAGGTCACTGGCCCTGTGGGCTATCTTTATTGTTTTCCTTGTCACCTGTCCTATGCTATAGTTTTTACTTATTTATATCACTTACTTAGCAGTTGTAGTGGTTTATTTTTTTAAATAATTTTACTGAGGTGTATTTTATCTGTCATTTAATTCACACATTTTGAGTGTACAGTTCAGGATGTTTTTAAAATACATATTGTAGCCATCACTTATAAATTCGTTTTAGAATACTTTCATGACCCCAGTAATACTTTCATGGAATTTACTGTTAATTCCCGTTCCCATATATTAGATTTGCCTTTTCTGGACATATCATATCAATGGGAACATATATGTGGCATCTTTCTCTTAATCCTTTTAAAGTCCATCCATGTTATAGTGTGTATCAGTAGTTTGTTCCTTTTTATGACTGAATAGTATTCCATTATGGCTGTATGGATGTATCTCATATTTTGTCTACCAGTTATTGGATCCAGTTTTGGGCTATTATGAATAATGCAGATAAGAACATTAATGTACAAATCTTCATGTGGACAAATGTGTCTTAGGTGTCTTGGGTAGACACCTAAGAATGAAATTGCTGTGTCATATGGTAAATTTATGTTTGCTTTTTTAAGGAAACTTTCAAAATTTTCCAAAATGGCTTTATTTACATTCCCACCACAGTGTATAAGAGTCCACGTTTTTTTCCAAGTCTTCATCAACATTTGTCGCTGTCTTTTTGTGTCCTTGTGGTTTTCATTTGCATTTCCATAATGACTAATAATGTTGTGTCTTTTCTTTTTTTTTTTTTTTTTTAAAGAGAGAGAGAGAGAGAGAGAGAATTTTTTTTAAATTTATTTTTTAGTTTTCGGCAGACACAACATCTTTGTTTGTATGTGGTGCTGACAGGCGAGCGCGCTACCGCTTGAGCCACATCCCCAGCCCCTGTTGAGTGTCTTTTCATGTGCTTATTAACCATTCATTTATCTTGCAAAATGCCTATTTTTTATTGGGTTGTTGGTCTTTGGTCCTTGTACATTCTAGATACAAATTCTTCATTTGGTATACTTTGCTAATATTTTTTCAAAGTCTGTTACTTGTCTTTTCAAGGTATCCTTTGAAGCATAAAAGCTTTAAATTTTGATAATGTCCAGTTTATCCATGGTTTTTTGTTGTTGCAGGGGGATCCTGAACTATTTTTTCATAGCTACGAAGTCTTTACCTAATTCATAAATTTTTCTCTTATATTTTTTTCCAAAAGTCTTGTTATTAGGTCCAACATTTGAATCTATGATCCATTTTTAGTTAATTTTTGTGTATAATGTGAGGTAAGGATCTAAGTTATTCTTTTTGCATGTGGATTTTCAATTGTTCTCACACTAATTGTTGAAAAATCCATCCTTTCTCCATTAATTTGCCATGGCACCTTTGTTGAAAATCAGTTTACCATAAATACAAAGATTTAGTTCTGGACTCTGGGTGCTGTTCCATTGATTTCTGTGTCCAAACTTATGCCAGGAAGTTACAGTTGTTTTTTTTAATCTTTTCCCCAAAATTGTCTAGATGGGGCAGCAAGGGTTTAAAGACAAGAGAGAAGGAGTCTTACTAATCATTTGATAGTGCTTGAGTACTGGTGTCTCGTAGAGTCTGTAGTGTAGACCAAGGAGAGTTAACAAGTCAAGGGGACTTGTTCTGACACTAAAGTGTGTAGAAAGTCAGAGTCATTATTCTCTAGATATTAGTGCAAGAATATTCCAGAGCTGAGGGAAGACTTTGTCTGCTATTTTTCTAGAAGCTTTCATGTTATCTTGGTAAGTTTTCTGAAGTCTGCTGTTGACCCACAGCCCCAAGGCTGATTTTGTGAGCACATACAGAACAAGCTAATAGAGGCAGTGCTCACTAGACTCACCAGACTGCTGTATATATCAGCATGCAGTTTTATTAGTTTACAATGAAAAAGCAAATATTTTATGGACTATTCTATTTTATAACAAGCTTTGCTTAGAGAAGATATAGCCTATTCAGAGTCTGCATGATAAACGCAGTGAGAACAAGAGAAGTCAGCTCTTGAGATTTCCAAATTGCTTTTTCATAAGACAGACAACTTGTGAACACGTTGCTGCCTGAGCCTTATGCTGCCCCTGCCCTTGGAGCCAAAGCCTCTTCTCTCAGCTCTGGGGATGTAGAAACCATTGAGTTGGATGATTACAGTGCTAGGGTCTCAGCTGAATGTCACTTGTTCATTCCACTTGAAACACTTGAAACTTAAATATGCAGCCAGGCCTGGTGGTTTACTCCTGTACTACCAGCAGCTTAGGAGGCTGAGACAAGAGGATCACAAGTTCCAGACCAGCCTCAGCAACTTAGGGAGGCCCTAAGCAACTTAGCAAGACCCTCTCTCAAAATAAAAAATAAAAAGGACTGGGAATGTGACTCAGTGGTTAGGCGCCCCTGGGTGAAGTCACCAGTACCCAAATTAAAAAAATAAAGAAACTTATTCATGGTGTGGCTTCTCTTCTGAACAAGCCCAGTATTTTATTTGCCTCTGACTCAACAGCCCCCTCTCATGGACACCACTTTTCTTTACTTGTATTATCACACTTGCTCATGATTGCAGGTCTGGGAGCTGCCCTGATTCCTAAGGGCCTTTGCCTGCCTCTGCTCTGATGCTTTCTGTGTTGGTTCTTAGAAACAACCTGCCTTTTCTTTCCAAGTTCTTGGAGGTACTTCACTGTCTTGCCTTCATTTGGAGTAGTTTGCCTTTTTAGTTGGGGCTAGTTTGGTAAATTTGGTGTAGATTTCCTAGGAGAGGGCACTGTACCACTGACTAGAGAAGAAGACCTATGGGATGGAAACCAAGGCCTGGTGCATGCTAGGCTAGCACCACAACAGAGGTATATCCCCCAACCCCTCTGATTTCTTTCTTACTATAATTATAGAGCAGCTTCCTAGTAGGAGGCCCTTAAGCCTTTGTTTTTCCACTGAATCTTTGAAATATATCTCCTTCCTTCCAGAGAGGAGAGATCATAGCTGAGAACCATCCTCTGGCTTAGAGTAGCAGGTTCTGGGAGAATTGTCCAGACTCTTCTGAGTCTGTGAAAGGGGAAGAAGGGACTGATTTAAATGTGACCCAGGAGAGTCAGGCAGGCTCTGGCCAGATGGCTTGAACTACAGCCTCATCAGTACTCCCTAGAGACAAACTCTGACCCTAAGGCCCAGCTGTTGTGTCTGTGACAAACCCCCACAGCTCATGTGGTTGGAACAGTCAGATTCAGCCAGTCTGATTAAGTGCACTGAGAGGCCTGTGGGCCCTGGGAGCAGTACTGGAGGGCCCTCTGAGTACTAACCCAGCCCATGTAGGTCCTTCTGGGCATGTCTTTTGTGGGAACTGTTATAAGGGAACTTGTAGCCACACATTGGCTTGATGAACTATGTGAGTATCCTCATATCTATTCTGCCCTCATCATTCTGATTTATGCCTCTCCTTCAGAGTTGAAAAAATACACAGATGTTCATTTTCTTCAAAGAATGTAGAAACTGGGATGGGGGTGTGGCTCAGCGGTAGAGAATTTGTCTAGCATGTGCTAGGCCCTGAATTCAGTCCCCATTACCAGGGGGTGGAAATAGCCAGACACAACGGTACACACTTGTAATCCCAGCTACTTAGGAGGTTGAGACAGGAGTATTGCAAGTTCAAGGCCAGCCTCTGCAACTTAGCAAGACCCTGTCTCAAAATAGAAAGGTCTGGGGATATAGCTCAGTGGTAGAGTGCCCCTGGATTCAATCCCCAATACTGCAAGGAAAAAAAAAAAAGAGAGAGAAGCATCAAATGATACAGAAAGCAGAAAAGAGAACTGGCCTGCTAACCAAGCAGGTGGAAACAAAACTAAAACTTGTTCCTACTTGAGGCCCAATATGTCTTTGTTCCATTTACTTTTTAAAAAAAATGTGGTCTTTCTTATTGTCTAGTTTACATTTTAAGTCAGTGATATCTGCAGTGTAACATTTACTTGCTAGATTTTTAACAAGTTGCTTCAGGTCATGGACTATGTTTTTAAAAGAAATAATACTAGCTCATTAACTCTGTACCTGTTACTTTTCACCAAAGGTGTAAGTGACATCAGTAGTGAATGTTCATTCCTTTTCCTCTATTTGCTCTCTACCAAATTATAAAAAGCAAGAACTGATTGTGGAGTTTTGAGATTACAATGACTCATAATTTCCCATTTGCAAAAATAATTCATATGATAAGTTATAAAGAAATTAAAGTGATTCTGACTATTTGAAAAATGTAAATATAACCCAGAGTGTTTATGACTCAACATTCTCAAACTGTCAGTTCTTTCTTCCTTTTTTTATTTTTTACTTTGAGGTAAGGTCTCCCTAAGTTACCAAGGCTGGCCTCAAACTTACCATCCTCTTGCCTCAGCTTCCCAAGTTGCTGAGATTACAGGTGTATGCCACTCACCCAGCTTCTCTTTCTTTCTTAACCACCTTTTTTGGGGGGGTGAGTGGGTACCAGGGATTGAACTCGGGGGCACTCAACCACTGAGCCACATCCCCAGCCCTATTTTGTATTTTATTTAGAGACAGGGTCTAAGGGTCAATGCTGAGTTGCTCAGCACCTCACCATTGCTGAGGCTGGGTTTGAACTCACTGTCCTCCTGTCTCAGCCTCCTGAGCTGTTGGGATTACAGGTATGTGCCACTTTGCCCAGCTCTTTCTTGACCTTCTCAATGTCCAGGATAAGATGGCTGGCCTATGCCATGTCATTTTTCAAAACCGTCATTAACATTCTGGGCTTTCATTACTTCCCTTTTCCTCCTAGATGTCATTAAGGCTGTCAGCACCATTGCAGTTCATGAAAAAGAGAGAAACCTCTGGCCTAGAGTGGATGTCTTCTCCTCAATGGTTCCTGGAGTCCTCCATGGGGCACGGCTCAGTGATCTGAAGATTGTGGATCTGGAATCCCAGAAGGTCACGTATAGCTCAGGTACTGCAGTAGTTCACCTCTTGCTGGCTCTTTCAGCCAACATCTGGCCTTCGGCCCAACTCAGCACATTTGAAACCTAATGCAAACTGTCCGTTCCATGTGCTGGAGAAACTTGCTGAATAAGAGATAGGCTCTGGCCTTTGAGGGCTCCCATTCTGGGGTGGGGAGGGGCAGTCCCAGGGACCAGCAACCACCCAGTGAAGCAGACTATGGCAAGATGAATGGGAGGAGGGGAATGATTCATTTTGCTTAGGACTGTTGTGACCAGCAAGCCCTGCCAAATTGCCTGGCCTAATTCTTCTTTGCCTTTGGTCTTCCAGACACCAGTGACAGTGAGGAGCTGAGTAGCCTGCAGGTCCTAGATGCAAACACTTTTGCTTTCTGCTGCACCTCTGGTCATCTGGGGCTTGTCGATACCCGCCAGAAGTGGGCACCATTGGAGAACATCAGCCCGAACCCTGGGTCTGGTGGAGAGAGATGGTGTGCAAAAGTTAGGGGCATGGGCCAAGGCCCAGGATCCTATATTGCAAGCCTTGGCTCAGAGGGGCAGCTCCAACTTCTTGACCCCCGGGATCTCTGCCATTCTGTCAGCTCAGTCCAGTGCCCAGTGTCCACACCTAGCCCCAACCCAGAGTTGCTGCGAGTAACGTGGGCCCCAGCCCTGGACAACTGCTTAGCCATTTCAGGTACTGCTGAACAGGCTGTCATGTCTTATTAGATCTCTCTTTTCCTGAGGATGGTAGAGTGCTCAGGAAGAAGACTGCAGCCCCACGATCAATCTGGTTCCAAAAGAATCTGGCTCCAAAAGTTAGAAGTTGCCCAAGAGAGCTCCAGATTAACTCTTCAGGTTCCTCAGTGGTAGGCCCTTCCCTGCCCTGGCCTCTAAACTTCCATGCACAAACACCAGCCTCTCCAAGCCTAGCAGGGATTCAGATTTCTGATCATTTGAGAGAAATGCAGATAGTAAAATGCTGGGATAGCCATGAAGCTGTACCAGAAAGGGGACAGGATTTTTTTGTTTTGTTTTAATTAGATACACATGACAGTACAATGACCTTGACGTATCATATATTTGAATCAGATGGGATATAATATCTCATTTTTCTGAGTATACAGGTTGCAGAAACATATTGGTCATGCATTCACATATATACACACAGTAATAATAATGTCTGTTTCATTCTACTATCCTTCCTATCCCCCAATCCCTCCCCTCCCCTCCCATCACTTCTCTCTACCTAATCTAAGGTACGCTATTTTTTTTTCTCATGTCTTCATACATGTATTTTGTATAACAATGAGGGTCTTTTTCCACCATCCATGCAATTCCCTTTCTCCCTCCCTTTCCCTCCCACCCCTCTTCCCTATGTAGAGGTAATCTTCTTCCCATTTTGAGTCACCCCCCCTCATATCAGAGAAGACATTCAGCATTTGTTTTTTTGGGATTGGCTAACTTCACTTAGCATAATCTGCTCTAATGCCATCCGTTTCCCTGCAAATGCCATGATCTTATTATTTTTTAGTGCTGAGTAATATTCCATTGTATATATGTGCCACATTTTTTTTTTTATCCATTCACATATTGAAGGGCATCTAGGTTGGTTCCACAGTTCAGCTATTGTGAATTGTGCTGCTATAAACATTCATGTGGCTGTGTCCCTGTAGTGTGCTGTTTTCAGGTCTTTTGGGTATAGTCTGAGAAGAGGAATAGCTGGGTCAAATGGTGGTTCCATTCCCAGTTTTCCAAAGAATCTCCATACTGCTTTTCAAATTGGCTGCACCAATTTGCAGTACCACCAGCAGTGTATGAGTGTAGGGACAGGATTTCAAGGATGCTTCTCAACCTACTTTCATTTTAAGTTATGCAAGCCAGCCAGGTCAAGCTCCTGGGCCTGGTGGAATCTAGTTGCATGGAGTATGGAATGAGGGCAGTAGATGCCAATGGGGAGGATCCATTGTGGGGGAGGGGCTGAAAGAATAGAAGAGAGCACAGGAAAGAAAGCACCAGGATTCATAAAGAGCAGAAGAAAAGAACCAGGCTCTGTGGAGGGAACAGGAAGATGGCAGGATAGCGTGAGTGCAGATGTAACTCAGTTTTGGGGGACGTGAGGGTGTGCCTCTCTTAAGGCTTCTTCTACTTCCCTCTTTAAGGCCATTTGCTGAGAGGGACAAGCATGGGGGAGATTGGAATTTGGGACAAGTTAGAAAGGTTTGATAAGTCTCTTAAGCCTCCATTTCCTGGGGAAAATAGTCTCTACTTCAAATGGTTGTAAGGATTAAGAGATAGGGCATGTCCAGGATCAGCCCTGGACCTGGTCTGTAACAGGTGAACCACAGATGATCATGGTGACATGCCCGGGAGGCCAGCACTGGGGCAGAGGTCACATTTCCAGTAGTTGGCTTTTAAGTATCTTGCTACTACTATGTGAGAACTCATCCTTGGCCTGTTTTGGTGCCATTGAGCAAATAGCATTGTTTTAGGGATTCAGGGTTGATGCTCCTTTTCTATATTCTTCCTCAGGTTTTGATGGGACTGTTCAGGTCTATGATGTCACATCTTGGGATGGAACAGGGATCCAGGTGGAACCTCTCTTCACTCACAGAGGTCACCTCTTCCACGATGAAAACAAAATGGATACTGCACCACAGGTTACCACCCACACCTGGCACCCCTGCAAACCCAGGACTTTGTTATCAGCAGCAAGTGATGCCTCCCTGCACGTGTGGGACTGGGTGGACCTCTGTGCTTCCTGCTGACACCAGCATCTTCCTGCCTTGGCCATTAGGAAGAGAAGGAGATGCTGGAGTGGCAGGGGCACTGATTCAGTTCTTGAGTGACTACAGATCCCTGCTACCAGCTGTATGGCCTTGGCAAGTCAGTCTGTCTCTTGCCCCCAGTTTTCTTTTCTGTAAAATGAGGAAAGAAATAACTACCTTGCTGGGACTGGTGGCAAACACCTGTAATCCTAGATGCTTGGGTGGCTGAGGCAGTAGGACACAAGTTCAAAGCCAGCCTCAGCAACTTAGCAAGGCCCTAAGAAATTAGTGAAATCCTGTCTCAAGAAATTAAAAAGAGCTGGGGATGTGGCTCAGTGGTTAAGCTTCTCTGGGTTCAATCCCTAGTACCAAAAAAAAAAAAGACTACTTTGCGGGGTTATTGGGAAAGTTAAAAGTGACATAAAGAATAGTTTTTGTAGGACACATGGCACAATAAATTACCTGGTAGCTGAGGGCTCCACTTTCCCCAGTGTGAAGTGGCAGTGTTTTGTCCCTCCCTTCTTCACAGTATCAGAGTAAAAATCAGAAGAGCTTGTGGATGTAATTGTGTTATGTGAACTTTTTTTTTTTTTTTTAAAGAGAGAGTGGGGGAGAGAGAGAGAGAATTTTTTAATATTTATTTTTTAGTTCTCAGCGGACACAACATCTTTGTTTGTATGTGGTGCTGAGGATCGAACCCGGGCAGCACGCATGCCAGGCGAGCGCGCTACCGCTTGAGCCACATCCCCAGCCCTGTGAACTTTTTTAACAGAAAAAAAAAAATGTATTAGGGCAAGTGAACATGAAGAAAACGTCAACCCTAGTAGAAATTAAGAAAAGATTGTACCATTTTTTGCCTGTCAGATTGCCAAATATCAAAGCCTTATTGCTTTGAGGAGCTGATGGAGGTTCTGTGGTACTCTGAAGGGCGCAGGAGAGGCAGGCTCTTCATTCCTGCTGTATACTGTACCTTGTGCATTTGAACCAGAACACATACATCCAGCTCCCTATTAAAGGGCAGTTACATTTTCCTCATCCTTTCTTATTGTGTGATGAACAACTTTTGTTTCCATAAACAATATGTTTTTAGGATAAATTTGTAAAAAATAAAATTGCTGAGGCAGAGAATATATGCATATTGAAACACTGCCAAGGTGCCCTCCTTAGAGAGTATGTCATTTTCCCCCAAACATTGATTGATGCCTCTCTCTCATCCTTGCTAACAAAGTCTATTTAGTGGCTTTTGACCTTTGCCAGTCTGATGAATGAAAAGTCATTACTCATAGCCTTAGTATGCATTTCTCTTGAGAAGTTGGTACTCTTCAGCCAGGCATGGTGGTGTGTGCCTATAACCCCAGTGACTTGGGAGGCTGAGGCAATAGGATCATGAGTAGTTCAAAGCCAGCCTCAGCAAAACTTAGCAAGACCTGTCTCTAAATAAAAAATTAAAAGGGCGGGGGAGGGGCCGGGGTTGTGGCTCAGAGGCAGAACTTCCCTCTCACATGTGAGGCACTGTGTTCAATCCTTAGCAACACATAAAAATAAGTCAACAAAGTAAAGATTAAAAAAAAAGGTGGGGGATATGGCTCAGTGGTTAAAACTAATGGGTTCAATCCCAAGCCAAAGTGTGAAAATAGTTGTTTGTGCTCAGCACCAACCACAACACAAGAAGTTCAAACAGATCCTAGCTGTCTTCTTCTCCCTCACTAGAACACAGCCTTCCCCAGGGTGGTACTTTCTATGCTATTCCCCAGGGGAATCCACATGAGGGGCATTTCCTTTTGGGGGCTCCACAAACATTCCTGTTTGGGGATCCATAGCAAATATTAAAGTTATATGCATCTCCCTGTTGTATACAATATCTCACTGTTGCATTTATTAAAGGGGTTTTTTTTATGAATTTTGCTTTTGAAGTTATGTGGGAAGCCATTCTCACACGTGATTGGGCACCTCCTGGATTGGATGTGAGGCATTCTGGCCAAACTGTGTCGGAGCTATCCCCACCCTCTCCAGGTGCAAGAGCCTGTCCATGTGGGGGTGTGACTGACCACTGACCCTGAGGCCAGTCACTGACCCTGACCTTGGAATGCTGCCCCCCTCGACCTTCATTGGATGGAATTTTCCCCTGAATTTCTTGTTCCCCAATAAAAAGCCACTCCCTGGCGTTCTCTCTCTCTCTCTCTCTCTCTCTCTCCCTCTCCTGAGTAAGCCTTGCTGCCCCACCGGGTGGTTCGAGGTGAGAGCCAGAGAGGGGAGAGCCATCTCAGACCTGGTCATAGAAAAAGGTAATTGAGTCTGTGTTTTATTTTGATCTCACTAGTTAACTTCTATGCCAGGAACCTCTTTAATGAAACCAGCATGCTGGTCGCCTGGTGGAAAGTTAGTTGATTATTAGTCACAATTTGGATTTTGTTTTTGTTTGTGTGTGCACACTCGTGTGGGTGCGTGCATACCATGTTGCACTGGAATGAAACCCCAGGCTGGCTTATGCTAGGCAAGTGCCTTTCTTCCTCTGCTTATAAGGCCACCAGTCCTACTGGATTAGAACCTTATCCTGATGGCTTCATTTAACCTTAATTACCTCCATAAAACCCCATCTCCAAATGCAGTCACACTGGGGGTTGATTCTTCAACATACCAATTTAAGTGAGGGGGGCACAACAGTCCATAGCACTGGGAATTTTTTTTCCTCAGCAGTTCTAGGGATTGAACCTGGGGCCTCACTCATGCCAGGCAATTGCTTTTCCACTAAACTACATCTCCAACCTCCCAACATGTATTTTTTAAAAGAAATATATATATTCTTTTTTGAGACAAAATCTTGTTATGTTACCCAAGCTATCTTCCAACTTGGAAATTCAAGTGACCCTCCAACCTCAACCTCCTGAGTAGCTCAGACTATAGGAATATGCCACCATGTACAGTTCAGAAATGAATTTTTTGATTACTTAATCTAACAATGAAGTTGATGGAATATTACATTTTGGGGACATTTAAATTTTCCAATTTCAAGATGTGATCATTCTTAACCATTTCCTGAAGCCGCCTCAATCATTCCTCCCTCCACCTAAGAATTGATTCTGTAGCTCTCTTTCTAGCTGTGTGTACAGTGATATTACACTGACAGCTTGAAATTGGCCATGGCAGAAATATTTACATATCAGAAATTGGCAAATATTATAAAGCAGAGCTTTTTGTTTTTCCCTCAGAGATTTGAATTACCAGCATGCCACTGACTAAGCTATAGAATCTCACCAAGTAAAATCACAAGTGAGTAATTTAGAAAATAGTAGAATTGCTGCCTGAATTTAAAAGCTGCTTTGCAGAAGTGTATTGACAAAACGTGTAGTCATGGTCTGGTCAGGAAGACTGAACCCACACTAAGTAATTTAGTTGAGAGAATTTAAATTTAATGATGAGGTATCTGAAAGAGGAAGCAAAGCGAGGCACTCTGAGTGAGCAATGGCAGGAAGTTGCCATACAAGGATAAAAAGAGGTGGTGGATGTGGCCAGAACCCAGGGTTTGGCCTCCTGGTGACAAACAGCAGAACCCTATCTGTCCAGAGCTGGGGTCATGGGGCAGGGGGCTACATCAAAGGTACTAAAACTGCAGAAGAGACATCTGAGGACTACAAGAAGTACAGAGTCACCTGGCTTTTCTCCTTCCCCTTCAATATCCTGCTAGTGCTATTGGTCAAACCTACATGGGGCTTATTGGCAAGGGACTTCTGGGAGGGTAGTGAGCAGGAGTCGGTCCCCTGCAGTACAAAACAGAGCTGGAGAAGGACCCAGAATGAATCTGAGGAGAAAAGACAAATGACTAGTACCACATTCAAACCTCAACAACCAAGAAAAAGGAAGGACCGAAGGTGTCACACTGGTCATGTGCTTGCCTAATGTACACAAGGCCCTGGGTTCTATCCCTGGCACTACAAAAGAAAGGAAAAAAAAAAAAAATGTGTGGAACTTTGGGTTTGATCCACAATACCACACACACAACAAAGTAGAAAATAGAACAAGGATTTTAAGAATGTGTATAATTACATATTAATTCAGAGATTAATTTATTATAAATTTTTGGCAGGAAATCAGAATTATCCAATACTCAAGAAAGGACAGTCATTCCAGGGATACATCAAAGGGGATATTAAGGGCTAGGGGTGTAGCTCAGGGTTAAAGCACATGTTTAGCACATGTGAAGCCTGGGTAATATCCCCAGCACTGAACCAGAAGAATCCCAAGTTCAAAACCAGCCTCAGCAATTTAGCAAGGCGGCCCTAAGCAATTTAGCAATACCTTGTGTCAAAATAAAACCTAAGAGGCTAAGGATAGCCTTGAGTAAGTTCCTGCTCTTTGACAACTCTGCCCAGCCCCGCCCTGCCCCCACCCCCAAGTTCTTTGGCTGGTTCTAATCTTATTTATTTACTTATTTATTTTTGGACTGGGAATTGAACTCAGGGGCACTCAACCACTGAGCCACATCTCCAGCCCTATTTTGTATTTAGAGACAGGATCTCACTGAGTTGCTTAGCATCTCACTAAGTTGCTTAGCACCTCACTAAGTTGCTGAGGCTGTCTTTGAACTGATACTCTCAGCCACTGGAGCCACTGCGATTACAGACTTGGGGCCACCTCCAGGCTCCTAGTTCTAATCTTATCTGACCACCTACAGTGACTCTTTGCATTCACTCTTTGCCCTGTGTTCAGCTCTCTAAACCTCTGTGGCTACCTTAATCCTTTCCTAGCCTTTCTGTAATGCAAACACACACACACATAAAATTGTGTAAAGTGTGATTTGTGACTTGAGTATTACAGATACTAGTAATTAAAATTGTAATAAAAGAACCTGGGGGCTGGGGCTGTAGCTCAGCGGCAGAGTGCTTGCCTAGCATGTGTGAGGCACTGTGTTTGATCCTCAGCACCACATAAAAATAAACAAATAAAATAAAGGCATTCTGTCCATCTACAACCACAAAACAAAAATTAAAAACAAAACCTGGGCTGGGCATGGTAGGGCATGCCTGTAATCTCAGTGGAGACTGAGATAGGAGGATCACAAGTTCAAAGCCAGCTTCAGCAACTTAGGCTCTAAATAATTTAGTGAGACCCTAACTCAAGATAAAACAAAAAAAGTGGGGGGGGGGGCTGGAATTGTGGCGCGGTGGCAGAGCACTTGCCTAGTATGTGTGAGGCACTGGGTTCGATTCTCAGCACCATGTATCAATAAATAAAGGCCCATTGACAATTTTAAAAATATATTTTTTTTAAAAAAAAGGGGGGGCTAGAGATGTGGCTCAGTGGTTAAGTACTCCTGGATTCAATCCCTAATGCCAAAAAAAAAGAACCTGTGATTGCCTGGCTTAAGACTACCAGGTGACCCACAAGTCTTCTGTGAACTGCCACTGGTGAGAGTGGTCTAGCCTGTGAGTTACTGTTATGAATTTAATGTTATGGAAAGGCACAAACGTGTGTGGTCTACGTTAATGACAGCATGCTCACAACAGGTTTTCTCAGCAATTCTAGGAAGATGCCCCAGAGAATCCTAAAAGGAACCAAAAAAAAAAAAAAAAACCAATAAATCATTCACAATGATGTCAACACCGGATTCCAGTCCAGCTGCAAGCTGGGACAGAGGAGGCAGCAGCATATAAATGAGAGAAACTTCAGGAACTGTTTCGGTCTCACAAAATTTCAAGGTAATTTAATAGAAAAACTAAGCAGCAATTTGAAGGGAGTGAAAGAGGAAGGCACAAGAAATCCAGCAATCTGCCACGTAGCAACAATAATTCAGCTTGGGGTATTTCTTGCAGGTGTGTGTGTTCATAAAGAAGTTCTAGAATAGAACATGTTTAGGTAAAGAAGGATGTCATCAGGGGAGGGGCATGTTGGGGCTTATACAGGGAGTGAGGGGTGTTCTTAAAGGCCCCATCTCCAGGGGCTAGGCCCAAATTCCCTTCCTTAGAACTGCCTCTCACACAAACCCTTTAAAGGGATGTGTTAGTCCACCTGGCCAGAGCTGCTTGCATCAGGGTTGGACATCTGACATCTTTAACTCACTAGGATGTAAGTTAAAGAGCTGAAGTAAATGCCAAGATCAGCTGCATTGTTCTGAGCGAGCTAAGCCACTAACATAGACCCAACACGTTTGTGTCTGTCATGTCAGAATTTATTCAATAACAACACATTCACAAGCTACATCACTTTCATAGGTTGCAGTTCACCACGTACTCATGTGTCACTTGGTAGTCACAAGCCAGGCAATCACAGGTTCTCTTATTCCAATTTTAATTGCTAATATCTGTAACACTCAAGTTACACATCACACATACAACAATAGATAAAAGTAAGAAAAGGCTAAGGAGGGGTTAAAGTGGCACCAGGGCTCAGGAGGAGAGCCCTGGAGAGCTGACACAAATGCAAAAGAATCACTGCGGGTGGTCAGATAATGTTAGGAACCAACCAAAGAATTTGTTCAGTGGCAGAGCTGGAGGTGAGAGGCATTTCAAAACAGCATGTGGTTTCAAAATGGGCCACATCAAGCAGGGAGAGCAAGCTAAGCTGAAGACCAGGGAGAGTCCAGAATTTTGGAGACTTGACCTTGTGACCTTGTGACTCTTTCAAGGGGAACTTGTGACTTGTTCACCTGATGCCAAGGTGTGCTGCTACAAACAGTCTTGGGATGCTTCTCCTTTAATGTGTTCCAGGTGAGGGGTCTACTTCATTAGTGGTCTGGTGCATTTGATAAGCTCACAGGCCTAATTTTTGCTTCTGATTTAAATTTGTAAGTTCACAGGTGGTTTGTTGGTTGGTTTGGGGCTGTTTTTTTGTTTTGTTTTGTTGTTGTTGGTGGTGGTGGTGTTGTTTTTGGTACCAGGGATTGAACCCAGGGATGCTCAACCA